CAAACTTATGGCATTTGTAGCATTCTAAATATTGCCCTGTATGATTCTTCCCATATCTCAATCAAGGACCACTAACACTTACTGTGGATCTGAAAGGCTCATAGTGGAAGCTCTAATCTCCTCCCATACAGCTCCTCTGAGTCGGTCTCCTTTGTATAAAGCCTCTACAGGCTGAATCCTTCTAATTTTGGCTCTTGCCTTTACCTGAGCTTCCCAAGCTCTCATAACTATAGCTACTCTTCTTATTAACTCCTCTAATTGGCCTCATAAAACTAGAGAATCTGACTTGGTTATCCTGACACCGGCTCTCCTCTACCTCTTGGGTCTTACAGGCTGCCATCCTGAGTTTCGTGGAGGTATCTCAAAACTCTTAAACTCATATAAGGCCATTTGTTGCTTTAACTCTGTCCTTGCCTATTCTATTAATTGACAGGCCATCCACTCTGAGTTATCTTTCTGCTGCAGGTAAGTAACATGCTTGGAGAGGTCAAGATACTTGGCAATAAATTCATCCTCGTGCTTGTTTTCCTATCAAAGAGCATAAAAAGCTGTTTCTTTTTCTTGTCTCATGGCTGGGGGAAAGTAGTGATCAAAGAACATCTGCTTGAATTCTTTCTAAGTAACCCTCAAGTCATCTATACCACTTATGCTCCTCCACCACCTCTTAGCTTGGTCCCTCAATAAGACCACCACCTTTTGTACCTTCTAATAGGTATTACAGCCACAAGCCTTGAATATTGTCTCCATGTCATTGATCTAAGCCTCAGCTTTATCAGGATCTATATCCTATCAAAAGTCTTCAGGTGATGACGCTTTATGTCCTTCCATACACTCTTAAGGTTTACAATCTCCTCTTTTTCTTGTCGCCCTCGCGAACTACTCTCTTCTCTGGTTCCTTCAACAGACCCCCTGTGAGTTCCAAAATTGTCCATAGACAGCTTAGGAAGCCTACTCTTTTTGAACTCTTCCACAGCTTTCTTACTTCTCAAGTCTTCCTCTAGCTTTCTTACCCTCTCATCTACCACAGTAACTACCACTTCCCTTAGCTGTTGAAGTAAGATCTCTTGGTTGAACTGTAGAGGATTCGGTGGTTGATTAGGCAGGTTTCTGGATTCATCCCAACCTTGATCGGTTTGTCTGGATCGTATCCGTACCATCCTCCCCACCTAAGGATGGAGCCCACAAAAAAGAAAGAAAAAGTAACGTCATAGGTTATGTGAGATTATTGTATGTTGCCACTAAATGTAATGTAATGCAACCTAGTTCGCAGAATTTTTGGCTCTGATACCAAATTGTGACAACCGTTCTTTCTCAAACCCATTTAGATTAAATCAAATAATTTATTCAAAAGATTAACCATGATAGAAAAGAAGAAGAACCTTAAAATTATAAAACCACTATCATGGTTAAAAGGAATAAACTTGTGTCATGAGAAATATTAATCATTAACTTGGGCCTTAGACTTCTAAAGTCTAGAAATACCATTCAACCCTTAGCTCAAACCAAACTCATACTTTCAAACATACAAACTAATAAATCATTTTAATATAAGCTATGGAGTTCATTAGTCAAAAGTTAACACTTTCAAAAGAACGTAACATACAAAGTCTTAAAGGCCTTTGGCCTTCTAATGGGCCCCATATCATATAGCAGTAATTATAAGTATTAGTTTACAATATTAGAATAGATGAGCCTTATATGGCAATATATAATAAATCAGCACATAAAACAAAAACAGGAAGGTTATATAAGTTATAACAACACACTATGCCTCCGGAGCTTTCCCTGATGGACCACCATCTGAACTATCACTTGAAGATAGTCAAAACCATGAGGTGAGACAAAAGCCTTAGTAACCAACTTTTTAACTCATCATACATACTAATATATGCTGATGAGGTGTCAAGTGAGATAGTTATTAATTCTCAAAAAATATAGATATATTAATAGAAATATAAAACATATATACCAAGGTAATCTCAATCATTCAAACCCTCACTATGGGGGCTAACACACAAGTCACATAAGTATGTCCCTCACTCTGAGAGATGAATCAGACATATAAGCCTATTCCTCACTCTAGGGGACGAATAAGAAGTCACAAAGGCCTATCCTTCACTATGGGAGACGAAGGAAGCCAACCAATGCATACCAATAGTGGTCTTATCACGTGGTAAAATAGGACTTAGCTCAAAATCCAAATAATAACTATTCACTCACAATATAACAAGAAATATCTCAATATTTTCTCAGTATAATTCATAAGATGTAAAATCATATTTTTTTTTTCAAACTTCTCAATCATAATTTCAAAAATCCCACAAAACAATTTTTACAACTCAAAAGGTATAACATATCTACTCGAGTTCCAAATAGAATATTATTATTTTAAAATAGTAAAATACTCAGAAACAATATATTAGCATATATAACATGTAAAAAGTGGTTACCTCTAGCCAAAGCAATAAAAAGGATTACCACAATGTCAATCCTTTGCTCAACCAATAATTAATCTACACAATTAATATAACTACATATTAATATAAGCTAATTAATTAATTAATTAAGCATATATCTATTAGTTAAATTTCTAGTTTAATTTAATTTAATTTAATTTATATTCTGAATCTCCACAACTCTCATAATCCAAAATTAAGTATTTTAGAAATAACTTGTAATTCTCTAATAAGCCAAATTATTTATTACATCCTCTGAATTATTTACTTTAATAAAAAGAATTTTTTCCAAAATTTCCAAATATGAAATTATTATATTTTAAATTCTAAAAGTCCCATTTAAAGTTTAAACCTCAAAATCAAACCATAAAAAATTTAATAGTACCCTAAATATTTATAAATAAATAATCTAATCGAAATTTTAATGATACAACTATCATATTTTTTTCCACAAATAATAAACTCTTTTAGCTAAGATAATTATTTTAAAACCTCCAGTCATCCAATAAATAAAACTAAACTAATTAAAATTTCAATAATATGTCAAACAACCCAAATAAATTATTTAACTTAATTTTAATTGGTAAAAATATGATATATATATCATAAATAACAAATTTTTCAACTAAAAAAATTAATTTAAATCCTAAAAATCAACAAATGGGCAAATCTAAATCGATTAAACTTAACTACTCATTTACCTCTAAATTTCTATGGTCATCTAATATCAAAACTCAATAATTACTCCATACCTAAATCTCAAAATTTTCTCTAATAACTATAGTAATACTGTCATTAGGAAGCTTAAAATATATAGGAAATATTCATAAAGAAAGTTTCGTGAAAAGAAGTAATTTTATGTACCTAAATTATTCTCAAAGTTTATCATCTCCCTTACAATGATTACTGATCGGGTTCTTTCTTTCTCCCAAATAAAAATATATATACCTAAATAAAATTTTCTCTAATAATTATAGTAATACTGTCATTAGGAAGCTTAAAATATATAGAAAATATTCATAAAGAAAGTTTGATGAAAAGAAGTAATTTTATATACCTAAATTATTCTCAAAGCTTATCCTCTCCCTTACAATGATTACTGATCGGGTTCTTTCTTTCTCCCACACTCTCTCTCTCTCTTGCTCCTGAAGAATTAAAGAACAGAGTGTGGGGGTGTACATATTACCCCCTCCCCCCACACATATTTATTAGGGGAACTCCCCCAATAAATTCAACCGTAACTTTCCACCGCCCATTCAGTGGCAAGTTACTCTATTATGTTTTTTAAATTATTATTTTATAATAATATAATATTATATATATTTTTACTATTTATTTATTTACTTTTTTTGTATAAATTCTAAAATAAAATTTAAGATATTACAGGAAGCAGTCTTGGCGGGAAAATAAAAGGGAAAATGACAAGAAAAATCTAGAGTACAAGAAATCCCAATTTGAGAAGCTAACACCTCATAAAGCCAAAATGGGAGAAAAACCTAAATTATCATTTTGAAATTAAAGTGACATGAAAAAAATGCTCTTTATTAAAAAAATTAAAAGAAACCCAACCCTCTCGCCGAAGACCTGCCTGCAGCAACCAGCCACTAGTGGTGTCCCCTCGCTAGCTATTGGCGAGGTGGCTACCGGAGGGAATTTTTTGTGGCAGGAAATTTTTTTCCAAAAAAGGGAAGAGGTAGGATTTGATCTCGCCACCTTAATGGTTTGGGTCAAAATGTAATGTAACCATTATGTTACCAATGTTTTATTATCAGCAAAATACAAAAAATTATATAAACTAGTGACACCCCCGTGCGATGCACGGTGAGGAATTATCATTAATTAGGATAAATTTTTATTTTAAATACGAAAAAGATATAATGTATGCGAGGTTTATCGTCAGGAGAAAATTTTGTATGAAAATAAGCATTAGATTTGTGAATAGAAACAAAATATGCAAAACTTGTAAATAACAAATGTCATTGCGATATGGGGAAACTTACATGGCTGTTGAAATCTTAGAAGAAAATCTTGTTTTGTTAATCTATGAGAAGATTTCACTGCGGCAGTTCCCTTTTTTGTTGTTGTTGATGTTGGTGAATAGGGAAAATGAATTTGAGAATTGGATGAGTCAATGTTGAAGGGAAGATCGGTGAACATATATTAGAAATGGAGATTAAGCATTTGAGTTATTATCTCCTTTGAATCTTGGGGTATTTGAATTTCATGTGAAAAAAAAGGTAATTATCATCGGTTTTGTTACATGTCCTCATAATTGGGGGTATTTGAATCTTGGGGTATTTTGTTACATGTCGTAGCCTGTTAAGGAGATAAGCATACGCTGAGAAATGTATTGTTTGAGTAATGCAAAGGAATTCGTCAAAACTCGTCCTAGTGCTTAGGTTCCTCCCTATAATTCTTTCCAGAGTTTGCATCAATATTGAAATAAAGAAAAATAACTTAAAAATAAGCAAATGCTATGAAAGTGTTAAATACGAATGTGATGCATTTTATGCTATTTGAAGAGACAATGTAATTATAATTTACTCAAACAGAAGGGACATTTTGAAAAATTTCTCTGTAAACAACATTAGTCGTTGTGTTGGTGGGTTTGCAGTCATGGTCTAGAATAAGTATCTTCAGTCCATCAATACTTTTAACTCTGGACAAAGCAACATATAATTGCCCATGAGAGAATACTGGCCTCGGCAAGAATAAACCAACGTTTGTCATGGATTGCCCTTGATTCTTGTTTATTGTCATTGCAAATGAAGGAATTATTGGAAATTGTCTCCTTGTCATTGTGAAAGGTAGGCTAGTCTCAGATGGGTTCATATCCATGCGATGAATGAGCACTTCTTCTCCTATATTTGATCCATTTAGTGCTACAGCTTTAATAAAATGTTTGCCTAGGAATGTAGTGCGCAGCCTTGTTCCATTGCATAAACCCGAAGCTTGGTCAATGTTTCTCATCAACATTATGGGACACCCAATCTTCAGAGAAAGTTTATGAGGAGGCATTCCAGAGCAGTTAATGGTGTTCATAAATTCAGTAGTGTATAATTCTGTGAAAGAACTATCCTGCTCAGTAGCAGATACAGAATCTGAGCTGTAATATTCAACACAATCCCCATCTAACATAGAGCACATGTAGTCATTGATCTGTTCAACAACCTCAATTGTTGGTGCTAAAATTGCTCTATTCATCAAATAATTTGAGCTCATGATATTCTCTCGCAAGCTTGGGAACGTTGCAGTGACTATAGAAGCAATAGGGTCATCTGAACATTTAATCAGAATCTCTTCAGGAATGGTTATGTCGGTAATTCCATCATGTGGCAGGCCTAGCTTACCTTCCCCAACATCTAATAACCATTTGGAGAACTGATGAATCTTTGTTTGTTGTATTGGGCATTCAGTAGTTGATAGTCGCATATTCTTTGTAAGGTTGAACAGCTTGCAATGATTCCAAAGTTCTGAGGAATTAATGGATGAGTCAACAACATCTGCCCGACCTCCTTTTGGCACCACAGGGAGTATTTGCCTAAAGTCTCCACCCATTACTACACACTTGCCACCAAATGGTTTATCACACTTCATAATGTCTCTAAATGTACGATCAACTGCTTCAACACAATATCGCCGAACCATGGGAGCTTCATCCCATATAATCAATTTAGTAGCTTTTATAAGATTTCCTAATGAACTGTTTTGAGTTATATTACACATTGAGACTTCAGTTATGTCAATTGGTATTGCAAACCTGGAGTGTGCTGTCCTGCCATAAGGAAGTAATGTCGCTGCTATCCCACTTGACGCTACATTTATTACTATTTCTCCTTTTGATTTGACTGCTTTTGTTAGTGCATTCCAAAGAAAAGTTTTACCTGTTCCACCAAAACCATGTACAAAAAAGAATCCTCCATTTGAGTCATCCATGGCTTTGAGTATGGAATGATATATATGCCGCTGTTCATCTGTGAGCATATTTCTTAATCGTTGTGACTGTGTATGGCATTCCTCTTGATCAAAGCTCAACTCTTGAATGATCATCCGATTCCTTGTGTCTACCACAACTTCAGTGGTTGGTTTTGGCATTGAGGGATAATCCAACAAAGATTTTCCATTCCTCTGAAGCAATTTCTCAATAGCTACCAATGAAGCTTCTTCCTTATCCTTGTCTGAAAATTTGAGACCTGCATTTTACAAAAGCTTTAGTTATAATGTATCCAAATCTCTAATTTTAGTGCATATCATCAAATTGAAATAAATACCTTATTGTTATCATATCTTGAAACGGAAGACATATTGTTGTGTCATGAAAATCTTTTCACCACTGTAATAAGCAAGTAGATTTTTAATTTTTTAAACAGTATTTTGCTATTTGTCATCATTTAATTGAAATATAGTTAATTTTATTAATAAGAATGGTATCAATATTAAATTTTTAAATGCTGAAAAAATATTATTAAATAGTAACATGTAAGTTTGAATTTTTAAAATGACAGTGATGATAAAAAAAAATCATTTATGCTTAATAGTGTTAAAATTTGAGGACCGAAAAATTATAGATTAAGAAATTAAATTGAAATTTCATATAAGATTAAAGAATAAATGTAGACTTTTACTTTTTGTTTTTTTACGTTCATAAGATTCTTAGATCTCTAATTTTATTAAGCATAGGCATTAGAATCAAATCAAAGTTTAATTTGATAAGAAAAAGTATAAGCACCTATAAAACAAAAAAATATCTTTATTCTCTTGTCAGCAATTACAACATTTTGTCATTAACTTCATGAAATTGTTTTGTTTTTAGAATTCTGTCTAACATCTCATTCTAAGGTATGTTCTTTTATTCAAAATAAGTACATTGTCAAAATCGGTAGACTAACTCATCTACAATGTTTTTAGTCTTTATATGGGTGAGTGAGTTCTCTTGGTGATTATCATCATCATATGTCTTATCAGCAATAAAAATGCAAAATGATGGTGTTAGTAGGCTTGGAATTATTGCAAATGACCCGAGAACTAACCTGTTAATTGTTGCTGAGCACGAGGGACATATAACATGTCTTCATATATGTACTCCTTTGTCTTCTCCCAAACAGACATTGGCTGTGATAAACAATTGCAAAGTAACATACTAACAAAAAATCTTCTAAGGTAATGTCCAGTAGCCCAAAAAGAAGCTTCCTTAATGGCATCAATGTATTCTTGATCATCCTGGAGTAGTCCAAGTGCATAGCAGGCAGCTCTAAAAGTTGGGTATATAATGTCATTCACAGTTCTGATCTCTTCATATGATTTAGGGCCTCGGACTTTGGTCAGTAGCACACGCAGATAGTATGTCTCACCTTGGGAAGGAGATGAGTGAGCTAGCCTTCCTATTGCAAAACCTCTTTGTCTTGGTTTCCAAATCTTCAATTTCTTGTCAAATGTATAGAACTGTGGTATTTGTATGTATGTTAACGTCCTGGCAAATGATTGAGACTGATTTAATGACATCCATGCCAAGAACATTGATTGCCTCACGGTGGGCTTATCCATTATTGAGGAAACAGGTTGAGCATAGGAGTAGTATATTGCTTGTTCCATGGGCAAATGAAAGCTCAATCTCTCAACTGATGGATATCTATGATGTATGTCAAATGCAAAAATACGCCATGCAGCTTCACAAGGAGAGACATATCTACAATTCAAGTAATGGGTGATCTCATCAAATGTCATCTCAGAATCACTTGCATTTCCAGTTTTGTAAATACCTGCAACTACTCTATCATTCCCCTTGCTTATGTACTTGAATAGGTATTTAATGGCCTGGGATTGATTGGTTTTTTCCACATTGATATGACCTCTAAACAGTCTCAGCAAATTTGCATTATAAGGGACAACATACCTGTTATCCAATGTTACGCCTTTCTTAACAATGGTATGTCCATCTCTTCTCCGTCTGTATGTGGGATATCCATCTTCATCGACAACAGTGTGGTCCACAAATTTCTTTGGAAAATATTTTGAACATTTCCCATCTTTCATACATGGTGATTTTTTATTTGAAGAACCACAGGGGCCGTGCATCATGTAGTTGCTTACAAGTTCATATAATTCAGGATCATTTCTTTCGTCTGGTATTTCTACAGAAATGATTTTATCAATGTCTCCTGGTGTTTTTGGCTTGTCACGAGGATCAATGAATAAGATGATATGCGCATGAGGGAGACCTCTCTTTTGAAATTCAATTGTGTATATCTCTAGAAAAATGACAGAGATAACACAGTTAATATGCATAATACAAAAAAATAATTGAGTTCAAGGTTATAAGGTATAAATAGTTATGTATACCTGCACGAATTGTTCCGAATATTTTTTGTTCCTTTATGACTCTCATCAAGGCATCAAGTTTCATCTTAAAAATCCTAGATAAGATTGTTGGGCAATCAGATGGACTAAGATTTCTTCGCTCACAATATCTTCTTACTTCTGGCCATGCAGGGTTGCATGTAAATGTTAGGAAGATGTCTGGATAGCCTGTAAATTTGCAAATAGCCATTGCGTCTTGGAAGTTGTTAACCATGTATCTAGCACCTCCTGTGAATGATGAAGGAAGTATTACCCTTTTCCCTATCATTGATGGGTCAGTCTCACCTCTAGTAATTGCATCTGATAATCCCTTGTAAAGATCAACCCTTAGTTCCTTTTGGTGGTCCCTGAGAAATTTCAAGCGATCAGCTTCAACCATTGTATATCCATCAACTATGAATTGCTGAAGCAGTCTCCTAGCATAAAGAATTACAGATTCCTCTGTCCTTCGCTCCATTAGTCTGTAAGCTAGATATTCTCTTATACTCAATGTCTTCTTCTTCTTTGTTTTTTGCAAAGTATGTTCAGCATGTTTCATTTCTGAGTCATACCCATTGTTGCCAAAATAAAAAAGAAGAGGGTATTGTAGAGGGAGGTATGATTTATGGAGCTCATCAATTCTCTTTAGCCGTCCGTCCTTTTTTCCCACAATTATGTCTCTTTTGTGATATGTTCTGTCAAAATCTCCCACTACAAGAGCTGCGATTTCAGATGATGCAGGTAGATTGTAGCATTTAGCTGAATCTGATTGCCTAATGAGGCAAATCTTCACATCTGCATGTTTATCCCGCTTCAAGATCTCATATGCATGCCTGTATTTCTTTACAAGGTTGTTATGTTCATCAAGGCACTCCTTGATTACATGCACAACATCTTTATTAAGATGAGCTGCCTGACCATGGTGACTGTGGATGAACAATTTTGAGTATGAGAAAAATTTTCGTAATTAAAGGAGTTAAATCACATCATTTAATACAAGCGTAAAATAAAGGACTGATATTCTAACCTTACTGCAGAAATCCGATTAGCAATCTCATTTTCAGTGTCGCAAATGTATAACTGTGAATATACTGGTGGAGCTCCTTCTTCAGGTAACAAACTGCCAATGTGATGGTAATTTTGCCCAGACAAGACATATGTATAAGGACCGGCACCATTAGTATTCAATGAGTGATTAACTTTTCCTCCCATTGAAGTGAAAGCAAACATATTGTTATACGCTCTAATATTAGACTGAAAATTCTTTGCAGCCTCGTATTCATTGTCAAAGAAAAGTTTGCGTAAAACTTCAGGAGGTCATTCAAAGGGTGGCACACATACCTTGCCGTTGCAACAACATAGAGAAAATACTGGATTTTCAGGTGTTGAAGATCTCTTCACCCTCTCATTTATCCAAAAAAGAGCGCCACAGTGCTCACATTCATATGATGAATCTCCTTCATCAAGATAACCATCGAGACTTATATGTCCAAATGTAATGGTGTTTTCATCCTCCTTATCATCATCATCACTGGAAATATCTCTGATTATATCTGCAACAATGCGAACAATTCATAAGTATCCTTTGTAGATGTAAGTAATGCTCTATATAAAAGAATAGATAAAAGAACAGAAAGCATGCTAACCACCTTCATGAATATGATTGTTTAGTGTATGTGTCAAGTCTTTAGCAACGCTGGATATGCTTGCAAGAAGAGATTTTTTTTTACTCAAAGCTTGTCTTCTCTTACCACGAGAGGCACCAACTTCTATGGGTTGAGTGTGCTGTATGGGAGGGTTTCCTTCACCAAATTTTGAATGCGATGATTGATTCCCAAAGGAGTTAGAAATGTCGCCTAACACTGACCTGTCATGACCTCCTTGAATAGTACTGGGAAAACGGGCCGGCCCGTCACGGGCTCGGGCTTAAACGGGCCGGCCCGTTTAAGCCCGAGTTCCAAAAATCACTCATTTTTTCAAGCCCGGCCCGCGAGATAACGGGCTCAGGCCGGCCCGCGGGCTTTTAGCCCTTTTAACTAAAATGAAATTTTTAAATTTTTTTTGCATATTTTATCAAAATAATAAAAATAAAACAATAAAGTTACTAATAAAAGGTATAAATATAAATAAAATTAACTCACAAATATAAACATCATCATGTCTAAACATATATCACAGTGTAATAGAGTCTATTGAATAAACAAACTAAATAGAGGACAGACGTAAACAACTAAATAAGCACTAAGTTCAGTAGATAATTACAATGTAGATGATCTGGTTTAATTATCAATAATTAACAAAAAAGTTTAACTAACAAACATAGTATACATAAAGAATAATCATTTGTCATACCGATAAAAAAGAAAAGAGTCCATCATCTTTAGTTCTAAATTTGTTTCTAACTATAAAAATGATATAGATCTTTATTTTAGTTCAAAAGATTTTTTGATCAATTATATTTCAAGTATAAAAAATATGGGAGAATAACAAATAAAGACCATAAAAATTACACATACAGTATTTTAACAAGTTTTGACAACTTATAAATAACAATATATTTTTGTGAATATGTTTAGTTTTAAATTTTGCAATTTTCACGTTTTTTTGGTTATTTTTCCCACAACTATAATGATTCTTTTTTTCTTTTTTGTGAATGCTATCTATGTGAACGGTTGGAATAAGTAAAATTAAGATTATGCTATGTCTAAAATGTTAGGGTTTCTTTTTTTAAGTTAAGAAAAAATATAAAAATTAAAAAAAATTGGCGGGCCTAAACGGGCCGGCCCGCGGCCCTACAGGGCCAGCCCGTTTATTTTTCGGCCCTACAGGGCTGGCCCTTTTAAGCCCGACTTCCCTTTCAAGACTCCAAAATACAAGCCCGGCCCTCGACTTAAACGGGCTTAAACGGGCCGGCCCGATGGGCTCGGCCCGTTTTCCCGGCTCTATCCTTGAATAGATGAGTTTATTGGAGTTGAACTGTTGTCTGAGAAAGCATTCTTTTGCAAACTAAATGACTTTGATGTGCTCGAACCATGATGAGCATCTGGTAAGGAAACCCCATTATATGAATTGATGTTCGGAGTGCAGAACACATTATATGTTTGTGATGCCGGAATTATTTTGCGCCTCTTATGAACAGGAAATTGTAGGTTCGACGAATGAGAAATGATGTTCTCTGCGTTCAATACAGAATCAACAATGTAAAAGGCGAATATCAAAAGGTTTGAATGTATAATAAAATGATAGCAAAAAAATAGCACCATGGTAGTTGCAAGAAGTTTAAGGTGCATAAAAAATAGTCTGATGAAGCTTACCATTTCCAAACCATTGGCTTTGGTTCTTGCTTCTTCTTCCCATGTTGAGCACAGCGGTCACAAGTCGTAATAAGCAAGATTGACTGCACAGATGACAGTATTGGTTGAAATATATTTCATAGCCATCTTTAGAACATCAGAGGGAGCTTCTTCAATCGCGCAGCTGTTATAATCTTTTTTAAATAGAGAGCACAAGTGTTATAATCTAATTGCACTGTAGGCATAGATCTTGAACCTGATTGGTCATAATAAAGTGTCACGGATTGTATCTATTTTTCCTCTCTGAAACAATAATTCAAAATCTTTATGATATCAATGGAGGCATGTTTGCTTTTCCAACTGTGTTTCTGGTTTCTGACAGAGGATGTAATCGTCATAGCACCTATTAGTTGAAATTTACTTAGCAGCATTTAATTAACTAACCACACCACCAGAATTAATGCATTGGAAAAGAAACAATGAAAAGAATTAATGCATTTTTGTTTTTTAATATTTTTCTTTTGGGCCAATAAGGCAACAATTACGTTGAAATTTGGTGGTGTAATGATTTAAATCCAAATTCCGCCTTCCTATTTAGGTATTTGTGCATTTGAAAAACATTATTTTCTTTTTTCTTTTTCTGGTCAAAATAAAAACATGAATTTAAAAAAAAATTATTAAATATAATCAAATGCATTAAATAAAGAGAGAGTTTTTATTCTTCGGCAAAAAAACAGAGAATTTTTTAAATTAAAATAAAGACAAATGTACACCTTTGAGCCTCTATTTTTTTTTTTTGTAGGGAGCAATTTGTGCGTTAAAAAGGTATTTGTGCGTTTTAAAAACATTAATTTAAAAACATAATTATTAAAGAGAATCAATTGCATTAGATAAGGAGGAAGTTTTTATTAAAATAGAAGCAAAAGCAAATGTTTTTTTGCCAACAATGTTTGATACTTTTTTTTTTTATAGAAAAATTCAGTTTGGTTTCTTAATTTGTAAAGAATTTTTTATTATTCCATCCAAAATAATTATTTAATCCATTTTGTGTATTTCTCCTATCTTATTATGTTGAATTTCATTTGATTGGATATTATCGGTGATTGCTAACGCCAAAATTTGGTTTTCCATGTTAAGTGCGGAATGATGTCAATATGACCTCTCCCAAATTAATCCACTTTGACATTTCCCACGTAAAATTAGTAGTTTACATTTTGATCAACACAAAGCATTAACATCAACTTGATTGAAACTCAAAACCTTAAGATATTCCAACAAAAACATAATATTACGACATGGACGAATTAAAACTGTGAATAAAAGTTAACAACTGATTTGATAATGAGACAGACATCAAAAAAGTGCATGACAACAAACTTGGGCTAGATAGAAAAGACAATAATCTATTTGGGAGGAGCTATTGTTGTGTTTTTCATTTAGGCTCTTTCTTTATTGTCTTTGTGGGCTTAGTAGCACTGAAATCAGGGGTTAACATCCCTGATAGGCCTAGGTTTTCCACCTCCAGTGAGGGGCTTTTCAATTCTTTCCTACGTTTTGCTTGAGAATAATTGGGGGTAATGAACTGAGAGATTGTCAAATCATTGTCCTCATATGTTTGCGCTTCATGAACTTTAGAAGAAGATTTTGATCCAGAAGATTCAGCAGGAGAACTCTGTCAAACATGAATAACTGGAAATTAGTCATATATAGAAGAATATATACGTACTGGCTAATTTGACAAGTGGGAAAAAGTTAAGTGAATCCATTTTCTCCATATTAATACCTGACTAATAACTGGACCACCACCTGGTTGATAAAAATAAGTAAATTGTTCAACTATTTTCGGGTCATCAGAGAGCTGAGACACACTGATACTACTATTAGGACGGTTAAGATTGTTGTCTTTCAAGTTTAGCTTCACAATAATCACTTTCCCCACACTTTTAATAAGAGGCTCTGGAAATGTCCCAGGTTCGCTATCCTGTTTTAATCGTAACGCATCATTAGTGATGACTTAGACAACAACATTAATAGATAATTACAAAACAATAAAAATTGTTACAGAACCTTGCAAACTTCATCCCTCAATTCCGCAGCAGAGGAGCCAAACAGCTGCATTGCGCAACGATTAAACAAAAGAATAGAGCATCGCCCAGTATCATCCACAACTTTGTAATGAACTTTGAACCTATGCAATACCATCCAAACCATACTTAATGATAAAAGAAAACAACTGGCTACTGTTCCATGAAAAAAAAAATCAAATACACTTACTTTGGCTCAGTCATCAAGACGGCCTTGTTGCACCCGGGGCATGTAAGCTTATCAGAATCAGCGACATACAATGGCTTTTTGTCACAGGGACACCCATCATAGTACCAGCCATAAAAAGTCTCAAGCTTCTGTATCGTAACTTTTGTAACAACCTCTCCTTTCTAAGTTGTTACGTGACAAACCAAAGAAGCATCAGAATTTTTTCTTTGAAAGTAGTGCAACATACAAATTTTTAAACATATCAATCACCTGTTTCAGCTGAAAAATTTGAGAAATAGTCATCCTACATGGAAATGTTAGCATGGACTCATTGGGCAATGTTGAGACAACACAATTTGATATTTGGGAGAGGCTTTGACTTGCATCAGGCTTCTCTTTAAGGCTAATGAAAATTACATTATGTTGCAATATTAAAACACACAAAATGAAATGCAAAAATCAAATGTAGATGACACATATGAGTGATTATCAACCTTTCACGTAAACTTCTAGCCTCAGCAATATCTGGGTTAAAGATAGCCTTTGTGCCCTCACATTGATTTGTAATGTGGCCATAAGCTGAAAAATCAGGGAACCTTTTGTTTCTAAAATTAGTTTATCATATTTAATCAATGGGAATAAAAGGATAGAGAAAATTACCTTTCCCTTTTAATATCCTTGCAAAGCGAACCATCACAACAATAGGAGGCTCAAGATCATCTGGTTTAGAGTTAAATGTTCTTGTTGCAGAATCTCCATACAAGATAACATTGATAGAATTTTCGCTATGACGAAAAAAAAATTAAGCTGATAAAAGCATAGACATGACATGTACAGATAAAGGTAAAAAGAAAACTGAAATGTCATGACATAAAATATTCTTAGTAGAAACACCAACTTGATGTCAGCAATAGTGAACTTGAGCCTCTTCGTTGTCGTGTTGTCATTTTTAACATCTTCCAAATCTCCCCATGCCTGAAGAAAACCAAGCACATCTGCGCAATGACATTGAGCAATTAAGTCCAGCAAGAAAATATGTTATGATATATGTACCATGCTCCAAAGATATACGTGGACAATGCAACATACCAATAAGATCATTGGCCAAAAAAAAAAACATACCAATAAGATCTTCCCTGTCTACTTTGTCCTACTTTGTCCTCAGCCAAATCCTCAATAGCGACGAAATTGAATGCTTCATGACAATTAAGTTATTTAAACCTCTGCATCTACTAATAGAAGCCCAAGTTTCCATATTGGAAAAGGAGGAATCCTCTTCAGAATGGTCCATTTAGTGAGGACCTTAGCATACAGACGCCATGTGTCTTTGACATCATCAATGTCTTTGATCAAGTCACCCTTAACAGCTGACATTGCCATTGCGTAGAAGACAAGAAAAATAGAAGGAAAAATACAGATGATCTAAATGATATCACTTTGATGTGACAAACCATATATATATAAAGCTAAAGCGGGATTTGGCATGAAATGAGAATTAAAATATAATTTTTTAAAGCAACAACATTTCCAAGATGTTGGAACTGACAATAAGAATTAATGACTTGGGGTAGGCAAAAAGGCGGACTTTATCCACAATCACATGTTCTGCAATGAAAGAAATCTCATAATTTCTATAGAAAATAGTAATAAAGGAAATAATAAAAGTTAGGCGAAGTTAATGTTATGCCCCATAAACTGATTGGGCAAAAGTCACAGCGGAGCCTAATAAGCAAACTTCCAACGTTTTGGAATAGCTGTCGACAATGATCAACCAATGAAAATGGATAGCGCAAGATACGATAATGGAAAATAGCAAAATGAAACCATTGAAAATAACAAAATAAATGGCAAGCCTTGCCAACTCTTCGAACCCATCAAAGGATTTATTTCAAAAACGTTAGTAATGAGAAGGTTGATTTTAATGTAGGAGAAAGTGGGGAAGTAAGAGAAGGAACAGGCACATCACTGCAGATTTTAATGCAGGAAATGGAAAAGTTGATTGCAATGTTTTGATTGCAAGTAGATATGATGTTATCCCACAATTAATTCAATCGGCTCTCTTCAATGTAAATATTAAAAAAATAAACAAAAATAATAAATATCCGCGTTTAGCTTAACTACCTCGCTTCAAAGATATCATTGAAAAAAAATGATATTATTAGCCTTCAAAATTGATTCTCTTCAGATTTTTCCAAAAGCGTCTCATTTAATATAAATGATTTTTTAAACAAAATATTTATTAATTAGTAATAGTAATTAATTGATTTCAATTTACCAAGACGTGTTTCATACGCTTGTTCTGACTGCACTACTCACAAGGAATACTGAGAGTGTTTCTTTTTTCTCTCTCCAACAACTGTGTCGTGATCTCTATTTGTTCCTCCCATTCGACTCTCTTTTCCAACGAAGAAGAATGACCTTGAGATCGGAGAAGTAGTAGATAATGGTTCTTCTGCCATCTCAAAAGAAAATTCGATTTTACACATAAGAGTTTCACCCCTGTTCTTCAATGAATATATCCCCCTATTTCAATCTTCATCTTCTATCCTCTATTTGATTGATATATGTTAAATAAAGAGAGAGTTTTTATTGTTTGGCAAAAAAGCAGAGAATCTTTTTAATTAAAATAAAGACAACTGTACACCTTTGAGCCTTTATTTTTTTTGGTATTTGTGGGTTTTAAAAACATTAATTAAAAAACATAATAATTATAAAAACGATAATGGAAAATAGCAAAATGAAACCATTGAAAATAACGAAATAAATAATTAAAAACGTTGGAAATAGGAAGGTTGATTTTAATGTAGGAGAAAGTGGGGAAGTAAGAGAAGGAGCAGGCACATCACTGCAGATTTTAACGCAGGAAATGGAAAGGTTGATTGTACAGATGGCTATGATTTGCTCATGTTTTTTTTTTTTTTAATATTAGCAATTATTTCCCCACTGTAGAATATTTTTTTTTACGTTTTGCAATGAAAGAAAAGATGGTTCAATTAAAGAAAGATTTTTTGTTCGTATATAGAGGAGAATGACGCTGATGACCAATGAGGAGCATTATAAAGGACCAATCAGAAAGAGAGAACACGATTTTTAGTAGAAATAAGTTGATAAGTTGATGAACTACTTAGTCTTGACTACCAATTGTTGACAACTTTTATGTGGGTGTTGACAACTTTTTAATTAAGAAACAACAGCAACACAATACATTTTAACAACTTTAGAATTGATATTAACAATTTTTTTTTTTAACATCAAGACTTAGTAAATTGTAGGAATTTGCTCAGTCGTGATGTTAGTGGAAAAACTTGTTAATGTCAATTTGAAATTTGTTAAAATATGCTGTCAACTTAATTGCAAGTATTTCATGATGACACTAGTTTTTCCCAATTTGTCAAGTGTAGATGTTAAAAAAAACAACTAATTATTTTTAATTTGAAAGTTGTTAAAATATATTGCAATGTTGTTATTTCTAACTCAATTATAAGAATTTCATGATGACGGTAGTTTTTTCCAATTTGCTAAGTATTAATGTTAGAAAAAAGTAAATTGTTAATTTTAATTTGAAAGTTATTAACATGTGTTGCGATTTTGTTATTTCGAAAGTTGTTAATACATATTAAAATATAGTCAATACCCATTTGCCAATGACCTAAAAAGTTGCTTGTTATTTTTTAATCAAAAGTTGTTAATTCCTATTGAAATATTGTCGATATCCATGCAAAAGTTGTTAATAACCAGTGAACAAAGCTAAGTAGTTAACTTATATATATTTTGCATTATATTAATAACAAAATATTGGTAGCCCAATCATTGTGTTATATTTTGGCTCAAACAGCCAAAGGGTGGTGAAATTAAATCCCACCTCTACCCCCATTTAAAAGCAATTTGCTCCCATAAAAAAATATCCTCTAGCCATTAGGTCTCTAGCAAGGGATTGCGTTTTTTTTTTTTTTCAATTTTTAAGAGTTAAGGTACATCTAGTATTTTTTAAATATTTAAATTTTTAAATATTTTCTTAGATGTATCTAGCATCTTAAAATGTATTTTTTTGCCTTGGTGCTGAATAAACTAAAAAATATTTTTAGGTGCTTGATGCACTTAAAAAAATACTTTAGAGCGATGGATGTATAAAAAAACACTTTACGGTGTTGAATGCATTACAAAACACTTTACGGTGCTCCCGAGAAAATATTTCAGAATTTAGGTATACCTTAATCCACTTTTTAATAAAGGGAAGTTCTTTTTCATTTCACCTTAATTTTAAAATAACAATTTAAATTTTCCTTCATTTTAGCATTATTTTGACATTATAAAGTGTTAATTTGGCAAATTAGGATTTTATTTATTCAAGTTTTTTTCCCGTCATTTTGAGAAAAAAAAAAAAAAACACTCGGCAGCCCATTGTTTAGGCCTGTTGGCCTCTATATATATGAGGATGGTAGCATCATTTACATCGTTGCTGGGGGTGTGAACCCTCAAACAGCAGAATTAGGAGACGAAAGGTGCTTTACAGCTTCGTCTTCGGTGTTCTTGTTCCATATGGCTTTTTCTGTTAAAACTCTTTGATCATTTCAAGCTCGCATGTAGAAGTCGTACTTGACTGTGATTTCTTTGAGTAACAGGCAAAGGTAATAATGGTGAATTTCATATTTCTATAGATTATTCTTTCCTCCCTTTTCCTTTGAAATTGTGGAGGCAAAGTTTATTTTCATTTTCCCGTTACTTGTATGTGGCCTACTTGAAAATGTGTTGATTTTCTTTCTGGTTCTATACTTTCTGTAATGTTTGAATTGCTTGCGATTCTTTGTTATTTTTCCTTTTTCGAGCAACAATGATTTTCCGATTTTGGATTGTTTCATTGATCGATTTCGTTTGGCAAAGCATAGCTTATATTTCCCTATTATTATCACTCTTTATTTGTTGGTAGTCTTGTATTTTAAATGTTATTATTGTGTATCGGATGAATATTCATCAATATTAGGTCTTGTACTATTGCACGACAAAACGGTCATGAGCTTATCTCTAGATTTTGAGATAAAATTTATTTATTTTTGCTAAAAAAAAGATATAATTTATTTTTCATTCAGGTATATTTTTATTTGAATGTTAAAAATGACATAATTCCAATTAGATGATTAAGAAAATCTGTATATAAAAGTATAAATATATACCGAATGAGTAAGTGTTGGGCGAATGTTGAATAGGACGGGAAGCAGCCCTACAATTGTATTTTTCTTGACGTCAAGCATATATGGAGCTTTGCGTTATTTATAGAAAAGGTATATTTCCTGCAAATTGTTATATGTGATCTAGTGTAGATTTAGCTAGGTGAAAGGCGCGAGGTAGAGATATTCATATGAAAAAGCTTGAATTTTTTTGCCTTGAATTAATATGAACAAGTTAGAAAAAAAAATAGAGAATTCTTCTGCAAATTGTTATATGTGATCTATTGTAGATTTAGCTAGGTGAAACATGCTCTTTTGTGAATCATTGGCTTTTCCATAATGGAAAAGCCAATGATTCACAAAAGAGCATGTTTAGAGGTTTGCCACAATTGCATTCTTCAATACATTTTATGATAATCTACTTAACACTTCGTTGGGCCTCGTAGCAAATTGTTTGTCCAAGAGTCAACTCCCTCCTAGGAAGAGTACGTGTTGCTTTGTTGACTTTATATATCCAACCGTGTAATTTGTAATTATTTTTCTTTCATGTCCAGTGTTGTTATTTCAAGATGTTGGCTCTTGTAATATTATTATATCTTTGGAGATTAAAAATTATCATATCTTAGGCGAGGATGAAGGTTATGGCTTTGTTTGGTTTCATGTTTCAGTGGTATAAAGCAACTCTGTGGCCTCTTCTCTCTCAACCTCATCTGGTGTTGGGTCTTGACTCCATCTCCTTGTCTTGCTCCTTCATCTACTCCTTTCCTGTTCCCTTGTTTGATCTGTCCAAGTCCTGGTTGCTGTCGTCTCCCCTGTGAATGTGAGTTGCGAATGGATATATCTTGGCCTCCCATTGTAATACACTGTCCAATTTACTTCTCTAAGCTTTCATAGTCCCTATTCTGTTACAGGTTTGTAGAATATTTTTTTTTTTAACATTTTTTGTTGGAGTCCCTGAAGTCATCAATCTAATTTGATTCTTGTTTCAATACGAGTTGTTGATCTGTGTCTTTGGCTTATTTATGGAATGTTTTTGGCCCGCAACTGTAGTTGCTATTCGGTCAAAAAGCAATGAAAGTTTTTAGAAGAAATAGCCTAAAGATGTCTAGTTTGGGGTTAGTTAATGGATGCCTGTTGATTCTGAAGAACCTACTTGGTTTGCTGTCTCTGGTCTCTTCTGTTTGTTCTCTCTTCTATAGTGAGTCTGTGCGTTGA